ATTTTTTTAAAAAGCCTTTTAGACTGAAATGAGAAAGTTCCCCAGAACCACTTTTCCTATCCATCTTTATCTTCTCTGGACGAACTTCCTCATCTAAAGACGGTTGTTCTTGTTTTGATTTTTTTGGGAGGTTTCGTTTTAAATTTTTTGATTTTTTTGGTAGCTGGCGTGATTTGGTCGGCAATGCTTTCTCCATAGATCCAGACGCTTGTTTGCCAACAGGAATATTTGAACCAGTATGTTGAAGGTCACTTGTTTTAAGGAGGGGTGCCAACTTTTTGTGAAGGTGTTTTAGATTCAAGCGCCCATGCTTAAATTCCTTTTTTAATTCTTTCAGTCCATTTTCTCTATCTGCATTGGACTTTCTCTGTTCTTGGCCGATGGGTGGCCTCTTTGGGGGTGCTTCCCCAATATTCTCTGAACTGTCATCATTGAAGTCATCTGCAATTCCCTGGTATCCATCGTTGATAGATGCCAAAGGTAATGCAGTGGGAACATTTGCCTCCTCTGAAAATGTAGATGGTAAAGATTTTCCTAGAAATCAAATAAGAAATAGAAATAATCAGTCCTTTGCAATATTCAGCACAATGGATTTAGGGTACGTTTGTTCGCCAAGTAAATTATCTCAATACAGCTGTCAATACAATTTAATGCAAGGTGGTAATGAAAATTGAAGTAATCATCAACTATATAATACAAAACAATTTTTAAGAGTCACCACCGAAATCTATACAAAAGTTAATAAATTCTGAGAATTTTACTTTTTTTTAAGTTTCTCACTGAAAAGGTTTATCAACAACACAGTGATGAATGTGAAATATCCCGACAAAATATTCTAAAAAAACTCATTAATTTATACGATGAGTAGACGTCGGAAGTTCGAAAAATGGTGGGTGTTAAAATAAACGAACACTTTTGGAAACTGGCGACGAGACTCGTGCATTAATTGGAACAAACCCTCGGTATTTTTCAGCTGATTGGCTTTTCCTTCTCTTCTGGTGCCTCCAGAACAAATAGATTCTTACCAAGGAGTAAATATACTGGACTATGGGAAAGACACGTCTGTAACAGTCGTGAACGGCCGAACTTAGTACGACATTATTTTGCTTTTTGAAACATCTTGAGACACACAACGTAAAGACAGGTCGCCATTATGCCGTACTGTATTCTGCAAAAGTCTAGGTCGAGTGCGCGCGACTGAAATTTACTGCTTTTCGTGAGCTGGACTTGAAAAGCCTGGAAAGGAAACTCCTAACCCAACCTCTCTGTTCTTCATTTCCATTTTTCTTTTAACTGCACTTATTCTTCTGCCACAGAAAGAAATTTTACAGGTTTAATGAAGATTCCCCGCATATGAAAAATGCACGCGCGTTTTAGCTACATCAGTTGCGCGATTTGTCAATTACTGAAAACCCAAATACAACCACAGTCCGTAGCTCAAAGTTGGCATAGAAAGCTAAAATCACACTTGCAGCTAGTACTCAGAAACTAAAAGACTTTCACGTTCCCAAATTTTCTCTTACAAGTAGGCAGTTTTTTTGTATCCCTCGCATTTAATTTCGTCTTTTCCGTTTAATCGGTTCAAAGGCTCGCGTCAAACTTTAAATCATCCCAGAAATACCTTACTTACCGTGAGAAAGGAGGGCAAATGCAAAGATAAGTAAAACAATCCGATGAACTCTCATTTTCTCTCGGATACTCAGCATACACCCCTGTTAAAAAGGTCATTTCACAGAGAAAAGATACAAATTTGTATGATATTGAAGTCACGGAGGTTAACAAACCCAACAAGAGACTGAAAATTCACTAGATTGGCTACAGTCCACGCTTCGATGAGTGGAGACCCTTCGGGGTTCTGTCCTCGTGTACCGGTTCACAAGAGCCAATACAAAAGACCAAACAATACACAATAGCTAACCGATAACTCCTAAACAAAGAAAGAACAATGGTAATTCCCTTGTGAACCGGTACACCAGGACAGAACCCCCTTCGGGGACGGTGAAGCATCTGAATATTTTCCTTCGAAATTGTATAGATTAGTAGGCTGCAACAAAAATTTATTGGACGACGTTTAGGGTAAAAACAGCAATCTAACCTGAAAAAAATGTATTTATTCCGACTCTTTCGGAAAATAACTTTACAAATCTTACTTGTTTATCTCGTAAGTAAACGATGGTGAAGCGCTTTCCGAGCTACCCGATTCTTCTCCCACTGCTTTCACGCTTATAAAACAGGAAACGAGCAAAAGGAGGAAGGTGTGGCTGTTTTGACTAGCCATTTGACGAGGTTCAATCTGCTCCTTGTTCGACAATTTACATATCAAAACAAAGGAAATTTGTTCCTCTCTTTGATTTTGGCGGTACATTTTCAATTTGCGCTTGCGTAAGAGAGAAATCGCCCAAGACTCCTTGCTCGGTCTTGTTTTGACCACGAACGCCTTCTTAATTTTGACGGACCCGCTCGGGAAAAGGTGAAAATGAAAATTGAAGTAATCATCAACTATATAATACAAAACAATTTTTAAGAGTCACCACCGAAATCTATACAAAAGTTAATAAATTCTGAGAATTTTACTTTTTTTTAAGTTTCTCACTGAAAAGGTTAATCAACAACACAGTGATGAATGTGAAATATCCCGACAAAATATTCTAAAAAAACTCATTAATTTATACGATGAGTACACGTCGGAAGTTCGTAAAATGGTGGGTGTTAAAATAAACGAATACTTTTGGAAACTGGCACCGAGACTCGTGCATTAATCGGAACAAACCATCGGTATTTTTCAGCTGATTGGCTTTTCCTTCTCTTCTGGTGCCTCCAGAACAAATAGAATCTTACCAAGGAGTACATATACTGGACAATGGGAAAGACACGTCTGTAACAGTCGTCAACGGCCGAACTTAGTACGACATTATTTTGCTTTTTGAAACACCTTGAGGAACACAACCTAAAGACAGGCCGCCATATATGTCCTCCTGTATTTTGCAAAAGTCTGGGTCGAGTGCACGTGACTGAAAGTTACTGCTTTTCGTGGGCTGGACTTGAAAAGGCTGGAAAGGAAACTCCTAACCCAACCTCTCTGCTCTTCATTTCCATTTTTTTTTTTTTTTTTTAGCAGCACCTATTCTTCTGCCACAGAAAGAAATTTTACAGGTTTAAGCACGCGCGTTTTAGCTACATCAGTTGCCCGATTTGTCAATCACTGAAAACCCAAATACAACTACAGTCTGCAGCTCAAAGTTGGCATAGAAAGCTAAAATCACACTTGCAGCTAGTATTCAGAAACTAAAAGACTTTCAAGCTCCCAAATTTCCTCTTACAAGTAGGCAGTTTTTTTGTATCCCTCGCATTTAATTTCGTCTTTTCCGTTTAATCGGTTCAAAGGCTCGCGTCAAACTTTAAGTCATCCCAGAAATACCTCACTTACCTTGAGCAAGGAAGGCAAATGCAAAGATAAGTAAAACAATCCGATAAAGTCTCATTTTCTCTAGTGAATCATTGCTACATTTTTCTCGTTGCAACTCACCCACAATCGAACGGTTGAGTGATTTACGTCACAATGTGAAAGTAATAAAATAGACTGCAATTAAACAATTATAAACGCGTCATTCATTTTTAATTCTTGCTTTGCTCTACTAATCAAAATCCAAGTCTATGACTTTTTAATTTCAATGCTGTACGTAAACTTGATTCTGATTTTCAGAATTAAGCTTAGCTTTCCAGACGAAAAAGCTTTATCGAGCGATCTAATTCCCAGGGCCTCTCGGCATGTTTTCTGATTCTTTAGCGATTTGAATCCTCAGGGTGATTTACTCCTTTCAGTGTATAACCGCTGAATTACAGGGGTGATATAGCGAGAATAGCGAGAATAAAAGAAAACAATCATCGACTGACAGAGCTGAATAACGTATACGCATGCGCCAGGTTTTGCCGCGGAAACGCGGATTTTGAGTCGTTCGCATGGTTGATTTCTTATTCTGTTGCTTCGAGGTGTCGTTTTCCTTGCCGCTTTTCTTTTACAGAACAACCTCCAAAAACTTGGTACACCCCCTAAAAAATTAATTTTCTCCCTTAAACCTTTGGAATAAGGAAAGTGCCTTGGACGAGAATAGAGTTCCCCGGTTTTAAAGGTCAGCCCTTATTATTTTCCGCTAATTTTTCAAAATTTTAGACCTAGGACACTTGAGCCCGCGTTGTTGACCGCATACCCTCTGATGTAGCATTTCATTATTCATCTCTGTCCGTTGGAGAGACAGTTTTCCACAGGCGTAGAGGGAGGGTGAGTCTACAACGAAAAATAATGGAGTCAGCGGTACTAAGCATAAAGATACTGGAAAGTGATACGTAACCTCCGATCGGTAAACCCAAAACAAATTCCGGTCTTTAATATGTCACATTTTCGCCAGCTGGCGGGAAAATCGCCCCATGTGGCATACGAAGTCGATGCAATGGCTCCGTCGGTCACCAAGGAGAGCATAATGTAGAAAGAAATCAGATGCTTGCATGAAAATTTTCACGCTGTTCGCTTTTCTGACGATTACTGTTTCGCAACATACAGTGGTGACGCCGAAAGTGTAAATGATCTTCTTGATAAGTATCTTTCCATAAATTCAACTTCGTTCATATAGAAGATTAAGTAGGAAAGGAAAGGAAAGTCTTAAGCACTCTAAACAACAAACGTGTCTAGTTACAATGATAAGGTTGAGATCGGACGTCAGCACTATCAGGCGCCTCTGGCAGCCGCTTCAGTCCATGTAACGATCTCACCTTCCCTCCTATCCCAC